CACTCACTTCCCCCGAGCTCAGTCCTCCCTGAAGCAGGCGTGTCACTCACTACCCCCGAGCTCAGTCCTCCCTGAAGCAGGCGTGTCAGTCACTGCCCCTGAGCTCAGTCCTCCCTGAAGCAGGTGTATCACTCACTGCCCCTGAGCTCAGTCCTCCCTGAAGCAGGCATATCACTCACTGCCCCTGAGCTCAGTCCTCCCTGAAGGGGGTGTCACTCACTGCCCTGAGCTCAGTCCTCCCTGAAGCAGGCGTGTCAGTCACTGCCCCTGAGCTCAGTCCTCCCTGAAGCAGGTGTATCACTCACTGCCCCTGAGCTCAGTCCTCCCTGAAGGGGGTGTCACTCACTGCCCTGAGCTCAGTCCTCCCTGAAGCAGGTGTGTCACTCACTGCCCTAAGCTCAGTCCTCCCTGAAGCAGGCGTGTCACTCACTGCCCCTGAGCTCAGTCCTCCCTGAAGCAGGTGTGTCACTCACTGCCCTAAGCTCAGTCCTCCCTGAAGCAGGCGTGTCACTCACTGCCCCCGAGCTCAGTCCTCCCTGAAGGGGGTGTCACTCACTGCCCTGAGCTCAGTCCTCCCTGAAGCAGGCGTGTCACTCACTGCCCCTGAGCTGGGCCGTGTGGACATGTGGGTGGTGCCCCCGGGACTTTTATGTCCCCATTTGGGCTGTGTATCTACCTGGGGTGGAAAGAGGTGGTGTTGGAGGCTCACACAGTGGTGCAGGGGACACTGCTCCTTGCTCCCTCCCACTGGGGCTTCCCCCTATAGGCAGGGAGCGCAGGTCCCATCCTCCCCTTCCTCGCCCTTGCCCTCGGCTCCAGGCCTGTCCTGCTGTATGCCAGTCAGGCTGGGCCTACCTCTCAGGGGAGGTGGGGGGGGGTGTGGAACATCAGGTCCTGCAGTCCCTCCTCTCCAGCCCCTCTCTTCTCTCGTTCTCAGCTCCCGCTCGTTTTCACTGCCCCCCCTCAGCCTCTAGACCCACACTGTCCAGTGCGCCAGTCACTCCCCACTTGTGCTCTGAGCCCTGAAATGTGGCTGCTCCCAGCTGGGAGGGGCTGTAAGTGTAACACACCTGTTTCAAACACAGTGAAAAAATAAGGGATGTCAAATGTTCCAATACTTTGTTTTATATTGATTACATGTTGAAATGATAATCTCTTAGATATACTGGGTTAAATAAAATATATCATTGAAATGAATGTCACCTGTTTCCTTTTACTGTCTCTTACGGGTTTGCTCCTACATAATATAAAGTGACACGTGGGTGGCATTTGTGGCCTGCAGGGTCTTCTCCTGGCGATGCTGCTGTGGACCTTTGAACCCCGCAAGGCTGTCCGAGCTGGACACCGAGGCCTCGTGCCTGAGTGACAGGCCCCACTGGCGGGCACGCAAACGCCAGCGTAGCTGCAAGTAAAACCTACAGCACCTTGAACTTCCAGGGGAACCTTCTCTATTAGCCTCACTTTCCATTTTTAAAGGTTTTCAAATGATGGGAATGTGCCCTGACAATGCCTCTCAGTTTTTCTTATTGGTTTACTTAGCAACAAATTGTTCATCATCGACTGAGGGCTCCAGCTCGCCTGTGCGCCTGCCGCCATCCATCTTCCCGGGAAGCAGACAGAGCTGGTGAGGCGCCGGCTCCTTCTCTCAGGGGCTGGCTCTTCCGGGGCAGGCGGAGGCGCTCACCTGCAGCTGCAGGGACAGCCCAGGCACAGGCAGGAGCCTGCAGCGGGAGCCCTCCTTCCCGCCTCTGGACCCCTCTGCCTTCCTTTGAGGAATCCCTCCCTGCTCCTTGGGGCCAACTCACTCATTACTGAGCTCATCTTGTCATCCTGGTCTCACTCTGCCCGGCCCCTGCCAAGCCCAGACGCCGCCCCTTCTTCCTCTAATGGAATCTGATCTGTCCCATAACTCAGCTCCCATGTCCCTTCTCCACCTCGGACTCCTTGACACAAAGAGTATAGATAAGACCCTGCCTCACAGGTTCTACACCAGCTGGGTGATGGTCCGCTAGGACATCTGTCTCCTGGATGAGAATGTGGGAAGAAAAACCCAAACACAAGAGAAGCCCACAGCACTGGAGAGCAACTGTGGCACAGATGGAGGAAGCGGAGGGGGTGGGCGGTGCTCTCAACCTGAGCTCCCAGCGCTGGGGAGAAGGACGCTCGCTCAGGGTGGCTCCTGGGTTCGGGCACGCGTGTGCATGTGCGTGTGCGTGTGCGCCCCCCCTGACAGTCACGCTGCTAGTTTAGTGTGGGGCTCATCTTTACAGACACTCATTCACCAGGAGTGAATGCTGGGTTGAGGTGTGGGGGCTTGTTCTTGAATTTAAGTTCTCTTCCGGGTGGAGAAGAGAGGCCCTCGGGGCTGGTGTGAGGACAGGGAGAAGGAGGCAGAGGGGCGACCAGGCATGGGCTGCGCTCTCTGCTAAGTGGTTACGCTGGGGTCATATTCCATCTCCACACCCCTGTGCAGTAGGACTCACCCCACACAGGAGGAACTCGGCGGCTCACAGAGGCTGAGTGGCCTGTTCTCACCTGTTTAGACTCGCTGCCTGTGGTTTGAAGCCTGGTGCCTCCACGCTGAGCCCCACGCCTGCTCATCCCACTGCACAAACTGCCCCGCGGCCGCCACAGCAGGTGCCGCCATCGAAGAGCTTACGGTGGGACCAAGGCGAGGGCGCACCCTGATGGGCACCCAGACCAGGAGGTCTTCTCTGGCCTGCTGGTCTGCCAGTACCAGGCATGTTCACGCAGCCCCTGATCGGGCGGAGACAGCCACCTGCACCTGTGCGGGTCGCTAAGCACTGCCTCCAAGCGGAAATGGCCAACTCCGTCCTCCACGGGAGGAACTTCCTTCAGGTTTCGGGGCCAGGATCGCTCTTACCCTGCCATGCCGGCTGGCTTCGCTGACCTCACTGCCCTCTCTGCATTGGTTGCCAGGACCCTCAGGAAAAGGGTTTACCAATGAGCTACAGCTCAGAGGACTTGGCTTTGCATACTAACTGGACTCCTGACTCCCTTTTATTGCTCATTTCCCCTGAATTGTCCCGTTTCCTGGTTTTTCTTCTAATCTCTTGTACTGCATATGTATCTGTAAGCCCCCTCTTAGACACAGGCCTGGATAAGGAATCATGCTGCCCACTGGCGAGGACACGGCACCCCTGGGAGCCTCCTCCTCCAGCCCCTCCTCTGTCTGGGGCCTGGCAGGCTGCAGGCTCCCTGGGCCCAGGCCGTGCCCCCGCCGGGCGACGGGGCCGGGAGGCTTACATGCACCAGCTGCTCCTGCGTGTCATACTCCTTGGTGCAGTCCTCCCAGTGGCAGTTGGTCTCGTAGATGACCACCTCCGCCTCCTGCTTGCAGTCGTCCCTGTCCAGGTCTTCCTTGAGGTCGGCCAGCTGCTCCTGGGGAGGAACAGAGCACACCCCTGAGCCTCGTCCAGCAGCCAGCCCTGCCCAGAGGCTGCCGTCAGCTCTGCTCAGCCTGTGCCAAGGCCCCGGGCTGTGCAGGTGCACACACAGGCACGCGCACACGCACCGGCTTTCCCAGCCCCTCCTCAGCGGGCTCCTGCCCATCACTCTCCCGTCACACAGCCGTCCTGGGCCCCTCCCTCCTCTCGATGCCAGCTTGTCATCACCAAGGCATCTCGCCACATCCTGAGTCAACTGACATGGCGAGGAGAGCAGGAGCGAGCAGGCAGTGGCTTTGCTGTTTGGCTTGGTTTCCCCTGCGAGGAGCCTGGTGGGCTCACAGGCCCTGCGGTGGGGCATTTCAGTCACAGGGTCTGCTCTCCACGGAGGCAAGAGACACCCAACAGGCATCTGGCCTGGCCCTCCAGGCCTCTCACTTTCCTACTGTCCTCTCCTCCCAGCACACCTGGATTCGAACCCAGGACAGCGCGCGGCTGGTTGAATGTGCTCGCACGTCCTCCCGGCAGCAGATCCATGGAACAGCCTGCAATGGGGGCTTTCTTCCCGCGCTGCAGCCAGAAAGGAGGCTCGGAGGGCTCCTCGCCCTCCCAGACACACAGCGAGTGTGGAGGCCTGGACTTGGACTCCATCCACCCCAGCATGGAGCCCACACGTGCCCATTTCAAGGTGACAGGCCTCCACCCAGTCACAGGTGCTTCAATTCAAAGGGGACAACACGTTTTACTCCAAAACCAGCAATAGACTGAGCATAAATCAGCGCCACTGCCTGGGAGGGAACGGGAGCTGGTGGAAGGGAGGCACCTGAGCCCCGGGCGGGAGGAAGGCCCACGAGGAGCAAGGACGTCAAGGGCTCCCGGCTCCGCTGCCTCCCGATGTTCCACTGGCCCGCCTGCCGGGCAGGCTCCGAGCAACGCCAGGCAGAGTGGCGTTAGGATGACCTGCTTCCCATTCAGACTACCTACCACCGGCACAGATGTCCTGTCTTTCAAAACAGCCTCTGGGGCAAACATTATAGCTCAGGCTGACGGGGAGACCTCTTCCCACAGTCAAGAGCCCCCACAGACTCCAGACACTCAGCCTCACTCCTCACACTGCTCTGTGGCTAGGGGTGACATCAGCACCCCAGCCCCTGCGGCCGGGGACCCGCCCTCCTGGCCGCCCTCGGTTGTTTGTGAACGCACCTTCCAATCAACGCACGTGTTCAATGCATGCGCTCTGAAAAGGAAAACGAGGTGTCGTGCAAGAAGTCCCCCGGCAGCTCCGGGGCACATGCCTGACTCCTTAGAAAGGGGGACCACGTGCCCGCTCCGCCCTCACCCTCACAGGAGACCTGGACCCGGACTGCATGCTCTGCTGATTCAGAGAAGAGGCTGCGGGGACAGGCGTGTGGGGATAGGGATGGGGATGGCGGTGCACCCGGCCCCCAGGGCGCGCTGGGTGTCTTCCTAGCCCACAGGTTTGGGGCTGAGGCAGGGAGGGAGGCTGGGCTGCATTTTGTGCCAAGGGAGAGCATGCCCACCCACCTTGCAGGAGCCGGGTCACTGAATCAGGACAGAGTGACACGGTGACAACCTCCTCATGATAAATGGCTCTCCTTTTCCTTCACAAATGAGGAGCCCAGCTGGGCAGGCAAGAGGGCTTACGGGGCCCTGGGCTGGAGGGGATGGGGGGGGGCTCCCTGTGCTCAGTGTGGCCTCCACCCGTCCTCGCTGCTCCCCGTGCTGCTCTCCCCAGGACGTGCGCCACCCTCATCCATTCCCACCGCCCGATGAGGGCCGCCCCGTGGAAGCCACGCATCACACTAAGAGGCTTTGGCGTCAGCGAGGGGAGAAGCATTTGTCACCAGCCCCTCTGTCTGCCTGACAAGAACAGAACCCAATATTTCATAAAAATTAAGTGCCCGGAGCATGCCCAATGGCTCGCAGTCTGATAAAGGATGGCGTGACAGAGGCAGGGAGGCAGGGACAGCAGGCCTGAGCATCGCTGGTGTCAGCGCTGTGACAGGGTAGTAACGGATGGAGGCCAGGCCACCGTGAGAGACGGGGTGGGAGGCCCGTCTGCGCGGTCAGCACTCACCCTGAGCCCTTCCCCCACAGGCTCTGCTGCAAGAGCTGGACTGTCTGCCTGTCCTCTCGGATGTTGGACCAGGAGGCAGGGTCTCCTGAGGGACCTGCACAGGGTCTCAGCCCCGCAGGACCACCCTGGCTGTGGGTCGCTCCGTCCCTCACCTTCCCTGTCCTTCCCCGTCACCACACACTCATTCCCTCACCTGTGCATGGAGTCCTTGGAAACTAGATTTCACAGTTACCATGCACCAGGCCCGGTGTAAACCCTGATGGCCTGGAACCAAACCAGACCCTTCCCTGAGAGGGCCACCTCCCCACAGCGCCCGGTGCAGTGCAGGAGGCAGCAGAGTGACCCGGGGCTAGGCTGGGCACCTAGTTCTGCAGGAGGGTCAGGAAAGGCTGAAGTGGCAGTGAAGGGGGCAGGGCTCCAGGGGCAGGTTACCTGCGTCAGGGTCACCGGGGAGGCTGGTCGCAGGCCCTCGGCCTCCGTCTTGACCTTGCTGCGCTTATGGATGACGATGGGGTTCACGGTGCTGCTCACAGCCGACTCGCTGTTCTGCTTGCTCTGAAGGGGTGCAGAGGAGAGCCTGTCACTGGGGGCAGGGGGGACACCCCAAACCTCCGGACCCTCCCCACACAGCCTATCTGGGCCAACCCTTGTGTTTGGAGTGGGAGAAACTGAGTCCTTCCAGCTTAGTCCCCAGCCAGGGGCACGGCCAGGAGAGAGCCCCACGGCCTGCCAGCAGCTCGCACCACGTCCACGGCGGCGGAACAGAGGCCTCTCTCTGGGAAGGGCGCTCGGAGGACTGGGTGAAAGGGGGAGGGACTGAGAAGCAGGGGTTCACGGGGATGTACCGCACAGCACAGGGAATACAGTCAGTGACACTGTAATAGCTATGTATGGCGCCAGGTGGGTGCTGGAAACATCGGGGATCACTTTATAAAGAATATGATTACCTAACCACTGTGCTGTACACCCGAAATTAATACAAAATAATACTGAATGTAAACTGTAATTAAAACATAAAATTAAAGAATTTTTTAAAAAGATGGTCTTTGGTGAATCCATGCTCCAAAACTAAACTGCACGATATTACTACTCATTAATCCATTTCATATTCTGGGCACGGAGCACCTACACTGTGCTGACTGTGAATTCTAGGTCTCCCCGTCTACTTACCTGTCTGCTGCGCAGGCGACATCAGAACTGAGGCTGGGCGCTGCCCACAGGAGTGGGAGTGGTGTCAGGACCCCTCCCAGGCCTCCCACCCAGCCTCATCCAGCCCCGGCCTTTTAGTCATGTGGCCTCTCCACAGACGGCACCCCGAGCCACACCCGCACCCCGAGTCCTCCCGCACGTTGCCAGAGTGAGATGGGGACCGCCAGCCCTCGTGGAGTCGGATCATCAGTTGGCCCGCTCCGCGCCCTGCACCCGCCTACCTGGCTGGCGTCGTTCAGACAGTTGCTGCTGCTGCTGAGCTGGGTGGGCGTGGTGCTGATGGAGGTGAGGGCCATGGGCTGCTGGGCCAGGAAGGTGGGGGAGGGCTGGATCAGGGGTGGTGTGTGTCCGAAGGCCGAGCCCAGGCCCCTCTGCTGGCTCAGGATCTGCTGGTAGGCCACGGGGTTGATGGGATGGGGGAAGGTGAAGGCTGGGCTGCAGAGAAGAGCAGACGAGGTGGTGGAGCGGAGGAGAGGGAGGGGGGCCAGGGCTCTGTTAGGCCAATACTTCCTGGGCAGAGAAGGCCTTGCCCAGGGATCGGATGGGCATGTGCTCACCTCACCATCACCACGGCTCTGCCTCACTCCGAACCAGCAGTGGCTCTCCACTGCGCCATCCCAGGCCTCGCCTTTCATGCTTAGCCTCCAGACCCAGCCCCAGGGGCAGCCTTCACCCTGGCAAGTTGGCCCCCAGATTCCATCCCACCCCACCCTGGCCCTTCACGGCTCTGGTGCAAGGCGCAGCCCTGCTCTCTATGAGCCCCACTTGGCCTCCAAAGCCGTTCTAAAGCCCTCGTCCAGGAAGTGAGCCCTGAGCCCTCCAGGGCACAGCCCCCTCTTCTTCCCCGCCTACTGCACTTGGGTCTACATGGCCACTCGCACTAGCCTCTTTCCAGAAGAGGCCACTGAAGGAAGAAGATGGCCCGAGGCTGAGCGTAAAGGAGCTGTGGCTCTCCTCTGCTCCCTCAGATCCCACCCTGACGGAGGGCGGGGATCGGCGGCCGTGTCCTGAGAGGCCCTGCGGACAGTATGGTGTGGGCCTCCTGGAAACGGGGCCCCGGGCCCCGTCATCCTCAGGTGACCGCAGCCAAGGCTGGCAGCCTCACGGGACGGAAGCTAAGCCAGCTCACACCCTGACCCTCAGAGATGACAAATGCCTGCTGTTTAAGCCGCCAAGTTTAGAAGGAATCTACTGTGCAGCAAAAACAGCGGACATGTCTGTTACCACTTCTACTTCTGGGTCCTGGGCCGAGCTCTCCCAGCAGTCCTAACACCTCTGGCCTCTCGGGATGCGCAAGGGGAGCACATGGTGTCAGCCGCGTCCTCAAACAGAGGGGCTGGGCTAGTGGCGTTGACGAGGTTGGGGTGTGCCATGCGGTGGCCATGTGGGAGCCTGCTGCCAGCCAGAGACTCACTCGCATGGCCCCGGTCAGTGTCACTCACCCTGTGTGCCCCCAAGCGGGTCCGGGACCTGGCTGCCCCACGGCACTCCCTTAAATACTAGGAATGTCACCTTTGACTTCGGGACCGAATCTTTCAGGACAGGCCCGCCAGAAATTGTGTTTGGGGTAGAAAGTCCTGTCTTTCTTCTCTGGTGAAAGTGCTGACCCTCCCTACTTGGTCCCCAGTCCAGCTCCCAACTCCCAGCCCTCCGCTCGCCGGCTGGGCTCACCTGAGGGTGCCCGCCGACAGGTGCCCGTAGGAGCCGCTGGCGGCGGAGCTGCTGCGCGAGTTGTTGATGTAGGCCACCAGCGAGTTGGGGGAGGTCCGGATCATCCGCTGCAGGTCCAGGCTGGCATCCGACAGCGGGGAGATGGACAGCGCCCGCTTGCGGCTCAGGCGGGGCGTCACCCGTGGGCTGGAGAAACGCGACACTGTGGGACAGCCAACCCAAGGCACATCAGCAAAACGTGTTTGGGGGGGGAGTGAGGGGGCAGGTGGACTGCAGGTGAAGGACAGCTCTGCCGTTCTCCAGTGGTGGCCTCTTGGGCCAGGACTTAGCCACTTTCAGCCTCAGTTTGCTCATCTATAAAATGGACTGATCCACACGAGGTGTGGTGAGGATTTAAGAAGCACAGGTCAGATGCTTGAGTGAATCCGAGCACTGAATACCGTCAGCGCCCTTCCTGTTCGGGATTCAGGGACCAGCTGGACCCATCAGTGCCTGACGCAGGACAGCCAAGTGCACAGGGTACGTGAACCACCCACGAGGCCAGCACCAAATGGTTGCCGGTTCGCTTCTCAGTCGGGGCACATACCTGGGTTGCAGGTTCAATCCCAGTTGGGGCATGTATGGAAGGCAACATATCGATGTTTCTCTTTCACATCAATGTTTCTCTCCCTCTCTCTAAGCATGTCCTCTGGTGAGGATTAAAACCAAAACAAAGGGCCTGGCCAGTGCCCAGAGCCCCTCTGTCTGCCCAGACCCGCCCAAGCTAGCCTGACCTCTAAAAGGCAGCTCAGTCTTCCTATTTTGAGTATTTGCTATTCATGTAGATGAGATTATAAATACTATTTGATGCAGCTTCTTCATCCAGCGCTAGTTTGTGAGATTGCTCTTCACTGCTGTGTGTAGCAGTCACTGGCTTTTCCATTGTTGTAGAAAATTCCATCGCGTGACTCTGTGGCCAGGGTAGCCTGGTATGTCCCTGGGGGAGAGGTCCTATGTGGTCTGAGCCCGTCTGAGCAGGCACCACGAGCAGGGCCAGGCCGTGGGGAGCACAGAGTGTGTTCAAGCAGCCAGTGGGGTTGTTTACAGGCCACCCCTCCAACCCGGGCCCACTGACTAGAAGACGGGGGAGGGGGGGCAGGGGCCAGCAGGGCACAGGGAGAGGCTGTTCCACACAGGTATTCAAAATGCAGGGCACAGCGGCCAGAGAACTAACATGCGCCTGCTGAGTGCTGGGCACTTCTCACGCCTCCCTCATCCCCTCACCACAGCCCTGGACTAGGGGACCCCTTTTCACGGAGGACACCGGGCTCTGGAGAGTCTGGACAGGGTGGAAACCCTGGTGTGTGGAGACGTGTCCAGTGATGTCAGACCATTTCTAGGCCGCTGTGTTGTCCAGAGGAGACCCAGGGCCTCGCCTGGGGTGGGGCTGCAGGAGGAGCTATCTGGAGCCAGGGCCGGAAAGCCCCGGGGCAGGGAGCCCCAGCAGGGGCAGGTCCTCCGCCCACCCTGCAGTTATGCATGAACAGCAGTCTCGCCTGACTCCCGGGAGATACACGCCAGGACTCCCAGGGGATCCTGAGAGGGACAGGAGCACACCCTACACACACTTGTAAGTGTTAAGTAGTTTCATCTTCATAAGCACCCTATACGGAAGGGGCTGTTACCAGCCTCATGGTACAAATGACAAAACATTTGTCCCCGGCAGCCTTGGCAGAGAAACAGGTAGATGGCCACCAAAACCACCCACCTCACAGCTTCTGCTCAGGGTGGGGAGGGGAGGTATCCTGGGAGGGTGCTCCTGGCGGGGTGAGGTGGACAGCCGGCCACACAAACCTGATGCTTCGTGGCTGCCTTGGCGCATGCTACTTAGCCTCCATGAGCCTCGGTTTGCCCGCCTGCACAGGGGGCAGTGTGCCTGGCTTGCAGGGCTGTCGTGAGAACACATGGAGTGTAGGAAGGGTCGTGCCGAAAACCCAGCAGAGCGTCCACAGGGGGACTGTGAGTTGATTCAACTTCGTCAGGGGCCAGGAGGACTGGTGGGCAGGCTGAGCCCAGAGTGATGCCTGGGGCAAAGGACAGCGCATCTCAAAAGGATGACGGGGCCACCCCGCAGCACAGCGTCCCTACACACTCGCTCACCTGCCCGTTCGGGCATCCGCTAGCCTCTTCGTTCTTATTCACCGAGTCACACCGCGCCCGCCCTCACTTTAAAGGGAACTCAGAGTAAGAACAAAAGCGTTAGGAGCAGCTGGCAAATGGGGAGATGTGTGTGGGGAGACAGCACATCATGTAAAGCAGAAATGCACGCATCTTTGTGATACGATTTTACAAAAATGTTTTGCTAATATTTGGATTTCCACCCTCTCTTGCGCCCTTAACAAGAGGAAACAGGCCAAATCTGACAGTGACATTCATCTCCGTTATTCCCACCCCTCGAGGGAAATGTGTTTATTAATGCGCCTCTTCCCTTGATAAATTACTAAACAGAAAGAAAAGCCTGGCACTCATTCCCCGTGGCTTCTCCTGTGATTTATGACCAGAATTGGTGGAGCCGCTGCATCCGCTCCTCTGTGGATGCGCCCGTCCTGATGTCCGACGGCCTCCGGGCGACCAGCCACAGCCTGCCCTAACCTAGGCGGGCCCGACGCGGCCCATTCCAGCCGCCGCTCACGTCCAGACCCTGTCTCACCACTAGTTCTTTCTTCCGCTCATTCATGTGTTTGTTCCTCACCCAGCAGACCCTTGCGCAGTGCTGACAGTATGCCGGGCAGCGGCTGGAGGCCGTGGGGTCTGCAAGCAAGGAGGACCCCGGCCTGTGCTCCTGGAGCTCAGCTTCCAGGTGCGACATGGGGATGCTGGCTACCCGCCAGCAGGGTTCGTTAGGTGCCACCTGTGCTGGGTTGGCCCAGGTGGTCCCGAGTGCTCAGGGGGTGGCTGCATTCCCCGGGAAGGCGGGGAGGGCAGGAGATGTGGGAACAGCCCTGGACCTAGGAGACACAGGTTCCCATCTGGCCCGGTAGCTCTGAACTGGGTGGCTTTGGGTGAGTCACTGAAGCTCTCTGAGCTGGCCCCCCACCTGTAAGACAGGCCAACAGCACCTACCTCCAGGTGGCTGTGGGCTACTGACCAGCGTATCCATAGCTCTGGGTGGACCGCCTCTGGACCCAGGAACCTGGGCTGAGGGCGGCCAGAGGGATGCAGGGATCCGAAGGACCCAGGAGCCATTTTTGCTCCAGATGCTACTGTCGTCAGCACTGGGCTGGGACACACCCTCCCTGGGGACAGTGGGCCGTGCCCCTGTGGCAAGCTCCTGGGACCCGAGTCCTCGGTGGTGGGGGGTCCTCCTGCACGGCCCACTCTCACCCAGACCTGTTCTGGACTCACCGAGGAGAGGCTCTAAGGACATCCAGCCGAGGACCTGGCCCTGCCCACTGAGCTGCTCGCAGCCCCTCACCACCCTGATGGGGTGAAGAGGGGGCCTGGGCTTCAGAGCCTGACCAGCCCCGGGTCCTGCTTCTGTGATGTGGGGCTCCAGCTCAGCTTCCTCACCTGTAAAGTGACTTCAGAAGGCTTGTCTCACAGGGCTGTTGGCGCAGGTCTAGCAGGTGGCCCGCATGCCTCACTAGCTGCGCCTGAGCAGGGCAGCCTGCCCCCGGACCCCAGCCAGGCCTCTCCTCGGCCTCTCCTTGGCGGCAGCTGGCCAGAACTGCCTGCCGCGGGGCCGCCTCGGTCCCTCCGTCAGCTCCGCCCGCCTCGCTGCGGTGTGATCAATGTAATTGGTTTCTGAAACCCCCCTGGACCCACAGGCAGCATAAAGCACGGGCGTCAGAACGGAGGTGACATCCGAGTCAAATTAGTGTCAATATGACAATAAAATATACAGCCTGGAGGAGGTATGGGCTGTAAACAGACAACATTTCAATCGGAAACACTTCCATCTTCCCAATGCGGTGGGAGTGGAGGGAGTGCTTGGCGGCGGCTGAGCAGCTGGTAAATCACCGATATTCAACCGACAACAAGAGAAAATTCCACGTTAGGGCGCTGATGACGGCGAGAGAATCCCGCTCTCCAGAGAGCCCTCGGCAGAGGGTAACCGTGGGTCCCTGACTGGTTATCTGCTGCCTTCCAACGCCCCCGCCCCCAACGTGCTCTCTGGCTACAAGTCAGATCCTTTAAGAACCAGAGGCAGCGAGCCTCCACCGGCCCCAGGAGGCCAGAGCTCCCATCAGAGGGGCCGGGCTGGCAGGGAGATGCCCTTTCCTGCCCCAGCCTGGTTTCCCTGGGAGGCCTGCAGGGCTGGGCTCTCAGCAGGCGCCCCACCAGGGCATCCCCTTCCCGCCTCCCCTCCCCACGCCATGCTTTCCCCTACGGAGGGTGCCTGCCCGTATAAATGAGATTATTTTAGGCTCGATGGAGACAGAGACAGGGACGTCTTCCTCAAACATGATCAGGTTTCCCATTTTAAAAAAATGCTAAGTTCCATTTTAGCATCCATTTCTTCAACCCCCAAAGGCGAGTCTATTAAAAGTATAGTATTAAATAAAGAAGTGTGCAGATGGCCCTTGTCTGAGGTGAAATTGTGCCGTTGGTTTGCCAATGAGTGGACGGGGCCTGCTCTGCTGGATGCGGACCCCAGAAGCCGTCCCACACCCTCCAGGCAGCCTCAGCCTGCAGACCTGCCCCCACACCCTCCAGGCAGCCTCAGCCTGCAGACCTGCCCCCACACCCTCCCAGGCAGCCTCAGCCTGCAGACCCCGCCCCCACACCCTCCCAGGCAGCCTCAGCCTGCAGACCCCGCCCCCACACCCACACCCTGACTTGACAGTCAAAGCCCCAGAAAGTTTTCTCTGCCCCACTGTTCTGCCTCCTCTTGGGCTGTGAAGGAGGTGCTGAGAGAGGAGGCTGGGGGAGGGGGGTGGCCTTTGTCCTGCCAGGAGCTTACAGGGAGCAGCGCCAGGAGGGAGGACACGGTGGCAGGGCCTCGCTGTGTCCCTCGCACCTAGAACAGCGCCTCACTCAGCCTGAGAAGCTGAGATGCCTCCCAGGCCGGAGCTGGAGGGCGATGCCTCCCTCTGAGCCCTGAGCCCTGAGCCCTGAGCCCGGGCGTTCTCAGGACCGAGGGCAGGGTGACAGCAGTTGGTGTGATGAGTGTCAGTGGCAGCTGACCCGAGCTGGGCGTCCTTGTGCCCACTGTGAACCCACCTCCTCACTCCCTGCCTTCCAGTTCTGATGCCCAAGC